GAGTTTATGAAGGGAGTTGCACCTTTCACTGAAGCAGAAAAAACACAGTTGGGCCTACCTGTGAGCTGCAGGACCTGCCTTTACCAGATGGGGTTGACGGGACTGAGGAGACTGGCAACTCTGGGACTTCCACGTTGCCCGATAGGAACTCAAACAGCTGGATCTTGGCAAAACAATTTACAAAAGCAGAGAGAGAGGGGATAAACCGATTGGCCTTATCTCCAACTGTGTAGCCAGTGTGATCATCCACAATCAACATCATCAGCCTGATTTCAACCAGCTCACCGGGCTCACAGGCTCCTCTGGATCAGAGTCCACCAGCCTCAGCTGTTTGTACATGAAGAGGAGATCAACCAGGTCGATGGTGTTGGAGCGTTTCAGGAACGACTCGTATGCCTCCACAATGAGATCATAGTTCTCCAGGCGTGCAGAGCTGGGGGGCAGCAGGTGAAGTTTGTCTAACAATAAGTGTTTCCAGGCCATCAGGACATCACTCAGAGCCACTTTGAACTCTCCGCCATGCTGTCACAGGAAGAGAGAAAGCAGCATGCGCAATTACAAACAGCCTGGAAACAATCAGTTCAAAAGCAAAGAGACCTTCTGCAGCAGTCCAAAAATAAGCCATGAGTGGTCTCACCCGGAAACCTGCAGTAATGTCATCAGTTATAGACGTGATGACAGTCGGCCTGATGGTTCAATTGAACTATGCCGTGATGATGATGTGAAATGGGCTCACACAGCCTCGCTTTTACGACACCGGATAACAGACACACTGTATATTTTTCCTCCTTAATTCCATTTATTTTCCATTTTGCGAAAGAGGAAATTCATCAGTTGCTCGAAACTGCCGTTAGCCTCACCTTCAAAATTCAACTTTATCCTAAATGAGTCCAGAAACATTAAAAAAAAAAAAAAGTATCCTCAGAGCGACTGAGAGTGAAGCGTGAAAGGCTGGGTTTACAACATGGTTGCTGTCACAGAATAGTACGTTTCAATTCAGTTTTAATTTTCCAGCACCAACTCACAATAAATCAACTCAAAGCTCTTTATATTGGCAAGTGTCAGAAACATCCAACAAGACGAGATTGCCCGTAAGCAAGCATTTGTGACAGTGGGAAGGAAGAACTCCCTTTTAACAGGAAGAAAACTCCAGCTGAGCCAGGCTAACACAGGGGCAGCCATCTGCCATTATTGGGGAGGCAGAAAAAAATTAAGAAAAAGAGAAGACAAAAGTTAATGCCATGCAGCAGAGTGCATCATGGGAAGTCCCCCCACCAGCCTGAGCCTACACCAGCTCAACTAACAACTTATTCAGGTTCACCTGATGCAGCCATAACCATGCTTTACCAAATCATTATCAAAAGTAAGAGTTTGAAGCCTATTCTTAAAACAGAGCCCGTATCCTGAACACAAACTGGGAACTGGTTCCATAGTGGAGGAGCCTGAAAGCTGAAGGCTCTGCGTGAGATTGAAGGAACACAACACTCCAGTCTGGAAGTACTAAATAAATGAACTAGTTTTTCAGCGTCACTCTGAGACAGGATGTTTCTATTTTAACAAATATTGTGCAGATTAAAGAAAACAGTCCTACATATTTGTTTAATATGTGCAGCGAAGGATATATCCTGTTATAAAATGGCTCCAAGATTTCTCAGAGTGTTACTGGATAGCCTGACCCTTTTGTTAAATAAAGGGCCTAAAATGCAAATTATTGGTTATTGGTTTACTAACCTTGGGCTATCAGAATTACTGCATTTCAGCTACTTTAACTTTACTTTTAGATGGATTTTGTTTTATTATCTGTATATATATAGGCATTTTTAAGCATAAAGGGACCAAACTACAGAGGAACAAAGCTGATCAGCCACAGCATGAAATTATGGGAAAGTGTAGTGGAAGCTCGATTAAGAATGGAGGTGATGATTTGCGAGTGCAGTAGGGTCTCGTGCCAGGAAAGAGCACTTTGAAAGTCAGACGTAGACCCATTGAGACTTTGTGGATTTAGTCAAAGCATGTGGTGAGGGAGGAGGTGAGTTACTGCATGAGGAACTAAGAAGTAGCAAATGGCACACATGAAGGCAATGAGGTGGGATAGGTGGTTTCAAGGTAGAGGTGAGACTGCATCAAGGGTCATCTGTGTGACCTGTCCTTTATAGATATGAATCAGATCAGTAAAAGTATTTTAAAGTGTATGAATAAATGAATCAAGTCCAGAACTGTATTACTTAAAACTGAGTAACTTTGAGGTGGTGTTGCAACATTTTAATAAACCCATTTTAAACTGCATTTTACATCCAATCTTTTTTTGTAGTTTATGTGTATTCCTTGTGGTCTAACAACAATAAAGCTGTGGAAGAAATCAAGATACATGTCGTGTATTATTTGTGCAAAAATGATGCAATCATGAAAAAAGCCCATCAGCTACGCAGTCTGAAAACCTTTCGACTGGTACTTTGGGTCAAAGCGTGACTTTTGTGGCTTGTGAAAATAAGGAGCAGGCTGATGGGAGATCACATCTAGAGAAGAGGCATTCAAATCAGTGAGACTGAGAGTAAGTGCATGCAGGTGAAAAAAAAAGGGAGCACAGCAGAGAACGAGTTGGTGAAGATGAATTTGAATATTTGTGGTCAACTGTTCAAAGCAGCAGCAGGGTGGAGGAGATGGATGAGAATATAAGGAGAAGGGTTAGAAGATGTCATGTGGCTTAGAGACAGTCACTCAGCTGGATGCAGCTGAGTTAAAGATGCTACGATTGTGATTGAGTAGGACTGTTAGGGAAGAGTGCAGAAAGGTGGGTTATTTAAGATCTCCATGTTTTCAATCATTATCCAACACCAGCCTCTTATGTTGCTCACAAAAATACACAAATTAATAAATAATAAGCACATAAAAATAAAGCTACCATTTGTGGTAGAGTGTAGAGGATGAATTCAGAAGTATGACAGCCTGAGGAGATAAACTGCTCTGATGCCTGGAAGTTCGGCAGCTGATACTTCTGTATCACTCGCCAGATGGCAGCCTGGCTTACAGGCTGTGCCTGGTGTTGTCTTTTCATATCCTTTGAGCTCTGCGCAAATTAGAGGAGGATGCTAAAGATGGAGCTGGCAGGCAGGGGGGGAAACTGGAAGGCCACAGATGAGGTTGATGAAGGTGGTGAGAGAGGACAGATACAAATAGAAATCCATAATCTGTGGTATTTTCAGGGTGTTAGGGTTACCTTTTTATTCACTTCTGCCATGGCCACCTGCAGCACCATAAGCATGCCATCCGCTCCATGAATGGTGGTCCTCTCAGACTGTAAGACCCGGTGACACTCCCTCCTGAAGGTTTTCACCATCAGCTTGAGTCTGTCTCCTACACCTTCCATTATTCCCTTAAACAAAAGCAACAAAAAATTATCAATATCTATTTTAATTCTATCGCACATTTAAATGCAACAAAGTTGACCAATGTGCTTTACAATTAAATAAGAACAAGAGAAAACATTAAAATTGCCTCATCTTATATAAATAAGATGAGGCAATGACAATGTATTAACATAAAAACAAAACAAGCCTGATGTTAAACTGAATTTGATTTAAAAGCCAACGTAAAAGAAAAAGTGTGTTTTAAGATGTGATTTGAAAGACTGTGTAGATTCTGAAGTATGAATATCATATGGCAAGTGAGGTGAAGTGATGTGTACCTACATTCTAACACCTGTTAAAAGACATGCAGCAGCATTTTGGACTAACTGCAAGCGATGGAGAGATGAGTGCTGACGACACAAATAGAGAAAACTGCGGTAGTCCAGTTTAGAGGTGATGAAGGCATGAATACGTTTTTCTAGGTCTTTAGGAGGAAGATGATGCTTCGCAATTTCACATAACTGATTAAAAACCGATTTCACAACTGTGGACGCTTGCTTCTCTAATTTAAAAGAGCCATCTAAAAACATGCCGAGATTTCTTACAGTGTGGGAATGATGACAAGCAAGAGGACCAAGGGTATCAGTTATCCAAAAGGGGCATGACTTCCAAAAACAATAACTTCAGTCCTATTTCCATTTAGGGCGAGAAAATTGTGTGTTAACCACTCTTTAACATTATGTAGGCAGTTAAGCAGAGGGTGAAGGGGGACAGAGACATACAGTTTCAAGGGGAAGTAAATTTGGATGTCATCAGTATAACAGTGAAAGGGAATGTGTATTTCCTGAAAATGGATCCCAAAGGTATCATGTATAAAAAAAGCAGAGAGTTGGATCCAAAACAGACTCCAGTGGCACACCACAACAAATAGGGGGAGTATTTCCCAATAGCAACAGAAAAAGACCTCTCTGATAGGTATGATTTAAACCATGATAAAACTGTGCCTTTAAGACCAACGACATGGTCAAGTCTGATAAAAAATAATGTTATGAATTACCGTGTCAAAGGCGGCAGTCAAATCTAAAAGAACTAAAGCAACAGAACAACCTTAGTCGACAGAGCTTCCTTGAAAAGGCGAGAAGGAAGAATATCCTGAGGGGAATTCGAAGGTCTTAAGTTATTGATTGCTTCCTTTAAGACAGGAAAAAGTCACTGGCAAAAAAAAAAACAACCTCTTATACATATAGGTCTTTAAATACAGAAAGACATACCTGGAATTAATTTAAAGACTTCATTTTCATACAGGGACTCAGCGGCATGTAACACCTTCGATAACTTGTAAGTATTTCACAACAAAAATGTGTCCACATTTTACATCTACAACTATATACATACATATAACACAGCGTTTATTCACTTTACATTAAAAAAAGACTGATTAAACAACGCAAACCTCTTAAATTGCTGCAGTCTTCCAAGAGCACACGACCACGACACAAAGCAGCTGTTTTGAAATTTTAAATTGCCGATGACGTTGTTGCGTTTTGTCCAATCACCTCTCAGCAAATAGCGGGGGTGAGATTTTTCTTTTCGTAGAGATATTCAATTCTAAAACTCGACAGCTAGCTATAAGTTCGTGTCATTGGACGTGTTTCAATTTTCAATAACGCTTATGGATTTTCTAAAGTGGTTTAGACTTTCCCCAAAAAAAATTCTGACGCCATAACTAATACCCAACCACCCTCTGACATTTCTACTCGATGGTACGTTCCGTGCCGTAATCGGAAGAAGATTGAAAACATCTCAAACGCGGGCAGCGTTTCGTTCAAGGGATTCATTGAAAATAAGGTAGTAAAGTCTATCAGTTACTGCTGTATTCTGAGTTTAGATAGACCCTCACCAGTAAAGGTTAGTTACAACTGGCTGCGGTTTGACTGGTAAAAACGACAAGCAGTGCTCCCGCATTTAAACCAGCAGCACGTTTTGCTTCTAGACAGGTGACATGCTACCATTATTATTATTCTTCCACAAAAGCCACACTAGTTTAGCTGAGATATCATATTCACCTAGTTTTCCTTTACAGGAATAACATGAAAATAAACGACCTTGTTGTAACTCAGCGAGAAAAAACTTAACTCATAAGCAGTAACACAATTTTAAGCACTGTCTGCATTTGTACTAAGTAAAAAAAAAAAAAAAAAAAAAAAAGGGGGGGGGGGGGGGTGTCGGACAACTCAGTGTGCATATTAACTGCGCCGAATCTAATGTTGATCAATGTAGTTTAGTAAAACATAACATAGCCCAGCTGTGTCCTACTTGCTGTGCATGAGTCTGTAACTACTGGGATATGAAAAACAAGAAAGTTTTTGATTGACGTTTGGTTTTTAAGATCCTTAGCAACTTTAACCCTGCAGACTTTTTTTTTGTTTTTTTATTGAACATAAGCAAAAATACTGATTTAGTTTAGTTAAGTTTAACTTTATTTTTTATCTGCAAGATACAAAAGAGGGTTTAGAAATCCCCAACTAGTGTAGTTAACAAAAACTAAGATAAAAGTAGGCCTGAAAACAATTTTAGTTGACTGAAATAAAATCCAGTCCAGAATTTTTAAAAATATACATTCAATAAGGTCCTGGAAATGTTCTTGATATAATGGCATCAGTTGCAGCAGATTTGTGTGTTGTACCTCTATGATGTACAGCTACAACAAGTGGTTGTAGCTCAGGTGGTAGAGTATGTAGGTATGATGTATGAATGTGTGTGAATGCTAGATAGAAAGATAGATGTAGAAACAAGCGCTTGTTTGAATGGGTGAATGATGCATGTTGTATAAAGTGCTTTGACTGCTCTAGTAGAGTAGAAAAACGCTATATAATAACAACTCCATTTACCACATCTAAGGTGCTCAAAATAGAAAAACAGTGGGTCTGTTTTGCATTACTTAACAGAACTGACTTATTTTAAGACATTACAATTAACACAACATTTATTTTGTGCCTGAGTATTTTGTGCCTTTTCATTAGAAGCCCATTGATTTACCTTTAAGCGTTAAGACAAACCTAATGTTATTTATCCTAAAAGTTGGGAACTTGTTTAGTTAATCAGTTAAAAATTAAGTTAAACACAACCTTAAAAAAAATAGCTTAATATCATCATATATGTAGTGTTGAGACTTTTAATTATCACAGTTATCATGACTACTGGTACATTTACCGATAATAATCTGATCAATGAACTGATGTTCTTGTTTAAAAGTGGTTTTAAACAACAGGTATTGATGATCATCCTAATCATTTCCTATGGGTTATCCTTCTGATTCTTTCAGTGGAAGTACGCGCGACATGCAGGAGGACTCAAGCCACAGTCCCAGCTACACCGTGCCATGTGACGACTTTGTTCATGTGGTGGAGTTCAGTCCCTTCAGCTCCGGTACCCCGGCATCTCTCCTGGCCTATGGTGGAAACCAGTACGTGGTGGTGGGCACCTGCCTCTTCCAGGTTAGAGATACAGTCTCACGTGTTTTGGTTCACTGAGTGCACATCTGTTTCCTTCTCTGAATGCAACTTTGCTCCTACAGGAGGAGGATGTGGAGGTCGAGGGAGTTGAATTCAATGTTCTTCGAGCTTTTCACCATGAACTGCGTGTCGACGCTCTAGCCTGGAGCCCCGAGTCTCGGCTGGACAGGATACCCACTATCAGGTACTAGGCCACTTGCATTCCACGTGCTTTGGCCTTCTTCTGTTTTTTTTTTTTTTGTTGTTTTTTTTTATATCCAAATCAAGTCTTTTTATTAACATCGTTCCTTTTGTAGCTCGGTGGCTTGTTTAAAACTCTTCATGTAAGCGCTTTCTGAAACATGAATGAAGACACCCATGTTCAGCTTCGGGAGCTGAAGACATTCAAAACATGGGTGGTCACTTTTGAGCTTGATTGAAGTTTCTCATCTGATGTTTCTGGTTTTTGCTGGGTTCAATCAATTGCCCCCAGCTAGGGTTGGGCAATATGGCCTAAAATTCATATCGCGATATAATTTGAAGCATGTGCGGTAACGATATATATCACGATATATTCTTTTCTTCTGTATAACGTATTTTCCACACTTAAAATCCTTTAATTTTCTCAAAAATCGAGAGTGTGCCTTATGTATGAATTCTGGTTGTGCTTACTGACCTCGAACTGATTTTGGCGTGCAGAAATCTGTTAAAAAATGTTTTAGTACAACTTTGGTAAGCCGCACTGCTTGATGGATTGTTAGAGCATTACGGCTGCCGTAGTGAGGAGCTTCGCGGAGTAATCTGGGTCCAAAACTCCGTCCGCTTCAGGTCCCAAAGTCAAACAAACACTAAGAGTTAAAAACGGTCTAAATTCTTTCATCTTTAATTAAATCATCAGCGTTGCTGCTTTATCGGGTGTAACAATTAAGTTTAACATCCATGAAAACAGAATTTATTACATTTAACGGAGTTAGAAGTTAACAGGAAGTTAGCTCGCTAGTTTACACCTAAACATTTCATACCATGCTCCGACTGAGAGATTTTTGAAACTAATTAAAACGTACAGCTCTGCTACCACTTCCAACATAAATGAAGAGAGAAAAACTAAACAGCAGTGGCCTTTGCAGGGTTACTTAAGTTGGACTACCTAGTATATAATGTTGTGCTACGTGATTGCTAGCGACACAGCTATGATAGCATAACATTAGCACAGTGAAGCTGGAGGATGAACCCCAACTTTTTTTCCACTTGATAAAAGTTAACGTGAAGGATTCTGGTGGTTAGGGACAAATGCAATCGCATAGCAGGATGCTATACACGGGGCAAACTTCAGTGAGGAGAACAACTGAGATTATTCATCCACAATTCGAGGTTAGTTGTTAATATACTGCAACAACATGGGAATAGAGCAGCTGCGAGAGAATTCAACATTAATGAATCAATGTTACGGAAGTGGAGGAAGCGCAGTTTTTGGCTTTAACCATATTTCAAAAGTGCTTCATCTCTTTGCTATGACTGTCGGCCGCCATAATCTGCAGTTGATAATGTTTGTAGCCGCTGAGATGCTTTCAACCAAAACAGGCGCAGCTTGATGACATCATCAACATGCGCTATCGCGATAGAGCGATATAGTCAAAATGGCTAACGATATACGATAGAAATGTATATCGTTTATATCTTATATCGTTTATATCGCCCACCCCTACCCCCAGCATAACCTTTTTGTATATGCTGTGTATGCTAGCAGATTCCTGCAGTTGCCTGTAGGTTTTCATGTGATATGACCACAAGCTCCAGTGGATCCTTAGGTTGTTTAGGTTGCTAGCAGGTTGCAACAGTTGCCTGTAGTTTTCCATATAGGTCTGCAAATGCTTGCCAACTACTAGGTGAGTGACTGTAAAATTAAACAAAATGTAATGCAAACTGGAAATGGAAAAAGTTCAGCAATGTTATTTATTAACCAGTTGGAATATATACACATTCTTACCCAAGCAACAGGTGGTTGACAGTGTCTAAGCCAATGTAACTGATGCCTTATTAGCAAAAGGCATTTGGTTGGACATTTGTAGCTCATCTGTAGGTCATGGGTCTCTTGTTACGTGAGAGGTCATGATGAGGCAGGATTAGAAGGTCTCCAGCCAACTTTCACTTCCACATTAGACATTTACGTCTTTTAACATAACAGGGTCACTGTTGTAAACACAGTTTTTGGGACCAGAGAAGAGACATTTGCAGAGAAAGCACACCAGCCAGTGAAAGTAGTCATCACTGCCTCTTGCTGTCACACTGCAGCTGCCAGGATGTGAGCAAAGTTATTTCAGGTGGCTTTGGACAGGAGGGAAGTAGCCCAAGCAAAGATTGTTAGAAAGCAAGAGTTTCCGCCTAACTGAGGCGGTGGATGGGAAGGTTTCGTGGTCCCCCTGGAGGTGTTTAGCCTTTCTGTAATTGAAAAGGAAAGGCAGCTGGCCTTCTGTGGTTTACTCCACAGGACCCTTGAGCCAGCCCTGTGACGTGCGCACTTGTTATTGCGCTGATGACTACCCACTCAGGTTCCATCCCTCCCTTCAGGCTGCACGTAGCTGTGCCTTCCAGGAAAAGTACAACGTTCTCACGGGTTTGCCTCAAGTGGGGGCCCAGAGAGAGTAACAGAGAGGGGAGAAGAGGGGCCTCAAGCTGCCACCACAGCAGCTTATAATGAGAACAAGCCTGGAGACTATTAAAACCACAGACTTCAACTGAACACACACATTTTTCAGCCTTGCCTGTCATTTACTATATACAGTGGACAACATGCTGGCCTTTATCAGAGAGTTAAAGGCACAAAGAGGAGATGGGCAGAGGGATATGAGAATGACATGACAACAAAGACCCCCAACCAGGCTCAAACCAGAGAAGCTAAAGTTCATGTTTGTGGCATTTTACCCTCAGATGCCCTCAGGGATGATTGCAGCTTGGATTACTAGGCAACCAAAAACAGACATGCATCAGTAAATTACATGCTAATATATTCTGTAGTTTGCACAGAACATATTTTAAAACTTCAGCTTGGCATCCTAGTTTGCTGCATGCATGGGTATATTTGCATTTCTTTTTATTAAATGTATTTTCTAAATTTCTTTTCAGCAATTAATAGAAGTACTTTGACAAATAAATAACTGATGGATATTGTATTATCCTATAATTCCAACTAGGGCTGGGCTATATCATACCGTTCACGGTAATACCGGTGTAATGTTGGGCAATGATAATAAAATGAAATATCGCGATAGAATATGGGTAAAACGCGCATGCGCAGTGCCTTTGTTTACATACGCACATTGCTGCAACGCAGAATGAGAAGAGCGAAAGTGGATCGTTAAATGAAACGGATGAACCAGAATTGCTTTGTAAAAATGCTGCAACTTCAGTGGTGTGGAACTGGTTTGGCTTTCGTCCTCAGATATACAACAAAGCACTATTTTTCGTAGCGCATGCTAGCGGGCCGTCGTTATTACCGTGTTTTTTTGGGAGATACGGCACACTTAAAATCAATCCTTTGATTTTTCTGAAAGTCGACAGTGCCCCTTACAATCCCGTGTGCCTTATGTATGAATTCTGGTCGTGTTTACTGACCTCGAAACGATTTTATGTCGTACACGGCACTTGAAAATCTGTCAAATGTTTCAGTGCGACTTTGCTAAGCTACGAAGCCGCACCGCTTGATGGATTGTCGGAGCATTACGGCTATCGTAGGCAGGCGCCTTGCGGAGGGATACGTACTGTGCTTCAACATAATATTACCGCATTGTGTGTGTACAACCTCTTTTTAAGTTCTGTGGATATTATACATGGTTATGCTGAGGATATGTCGGCCAATTTCCACTGGAAATGCCTTTTGGTTAAACTGTCAGCAAGGATTTGCATTTGCACTGCATTTTTATATAACTTTAATGCATTTAAAAAGCTGCTTGTGTAAGTGCAAAATACATTGATGTTTGTTTTTTTGGGTTTTTTTGCACTAATAAAGTTGAGGAGTTGTAAAGTATTTTGTCTAGTGTCAATTATATCGTCAGTTATATGTTATCGCAAATTTTCAAATGTATATTGTGATAGATATTTTTGGTCATATTGCCCTGCTCTAATTCCAACTCCTAATCCTGAACCAGGTTAGGCAGGATAAGTTGAAGTGTTGGTAATGTAAGAAGAGACTCAATAGCATTAAAATGGGGGGAGTCTAAGAAGAGGCATGGTCTGATATGATGTTATCACTTTGCTATGCATTGTTTTGGTGTTATTGGCACACCATCACACCGCACACCAAACCCTAACCATGTCCCTAACAGCCATGTTTTTGTTTTGTTTTTTGGGGTTTTTTTACATTTTCTTTTTCCTGAGTGGACATTGGCAACTTTTTTCCCATGTCACAGAACTAATAACATTGTGATTGACCAAGATTAATTGTGATGATTCAGGAAGAACGCCAACATGGGGGATATCAAATACACCCAAGGCAGAGAAGCCCAGACCTCCCTGACCACGTCTTTCAGCTCTTCTGGGGGAACACCAAGGTGTTCTCAAGCCAGCCGGGAGATGCGATCTCTCCAATGCGTCCTTTTAAAAATGAAGTTCAAGTTTTATTCAGCTGTATCTGAAAGTCTTAGTGTTTGACAACATAGCTCCTGGAATCACTGGGACGCTGGGGTCAGACCACTGGGCTTGCACCCATAACTACTGTCTGACTTACTGGACCCATGTGGTGCTTCTTGCGCGTTGCGGACCCACAGAAGGCCAGGTCCATATTTTGTCTTTGGGCTGCGTCCAACTGGCCCTCATAGGCTAAGGCCCGGCTACCAGGCGCTCTTTCTTGGACCCCTCTCCCCGGGCTTGGTTCCAGGGGGCCCTGGTAACCCTATCCTGAGCAAAGCAAACTGGCTCCTTGTTCTCTTGTTCATAAGGGTCGTCTGAATCACTCTTTGTCTGGTCTCTTGCCCAGGACCAATTTTCCTTGCAAAACCCAACTAGGAGCAAATCCCCCCTCAACATAGCTCCTGGGATCAGTGGGGCACAGACCTCCCCACCACAATAAAGCAGGGATTCATAAATGTCATTACAAGATGAAAGGGGAAAATATTCACATATGCATACAATATATAGACTCTAAATGTTGCTTCTTTTTTTAATGTAAAACATTAAGCCAAGATTCTGCTAATTTTGGTCAAGCAGACCTTTCAAAGATGTTCTCACTTTCAAAAACCTATCCTGTTTCAGCCTCTGTGGGGTTAAAATGATGGCACGAGGTAGAGTTTATGTCAACAAAACAAAAATTCACTGGAATTTCCCCTTTTTATTCAATGGGAATGGCTTTGACATTTAATTTAAAAAAAGGCAAAACGCCAGCGTGTGTTCCATGTTTTACAACAAACACTAATACGCAGGTTGAGAGGGCCTGTCCTAATATAATCTAATCTACTGTAGCAGTAAAACCCTGGAGCACGTTAAGGCTGTTTGTAGTGACATCATGCCAAATCCATCTGTGCCTGTGCTCGAAAATGTGTGAACTGCTGTCTGTTTATTCTGGTGATATGTGTGTGTTTTTCTTGTCATAAGTGAGTTAGTGTAATTGTGTGAATAATTGCAGGCACTGGTATATACGAGGACTGATTAGAGGGGAAAGTCCTCTGCCTGGCTCTGCACAGGTTTCTTTGAACAGAAGCGTGCACAAATGGCGTGAGGATTCTTATTTTTCTACGTGTTTATCTTAGCTTGCAATCAGAATCTCCCTGGCAGTGCTTCTACTGATCGGCGTCCAAGTTTTTACCACACACACACACACACAGTCTCATCCAGAGGTGTCAGTGTAGGCGGTTGCATGATGTCGTTTGTCATCGGTCTGACTGTTTTGATGCTCACTCTGTGTTTTTATGTCCTCTCTTTGCAGGTTGTGCACGGCTGCAGCTGACAGAAAGCTACGCCTGCTGACTTCTGATCTTCAGGATAGGCATGAAGTCAAGGTAATGCAACATCTGGAGCACATTGGCCACAACTGAGCTTGTCATTAGGCATCAAACTTGCGCTGCTTAGTGCTGACGTTCAGTGCTTAGCGATAGAGGAAGTAGTTAAACTGCTAGAAAACATTCATTTAACAACTTATTGATTGGTATATTTTCTGTTTTTGTTCACACGTTTGTTTTTCCCATGCTGTCACTAGGTAATGGAGGGTCACATCAGCTACATTAACCATTTGGTGTTCGAGCCCATAGAGGGGAAACAAATTGCTTCCGTCAGTGATGACCACACTTGCAGGTCGAACCCGTTTTATTTCCATGTGTGTGTGCGTGTGTGTGTTCCCAGCTTCTGATTTTCAGTTCTGTTCTCTGTTAATGGTGCAGAAAGTTCTGACAGTGTTTCCACAGTGAAACACGATGCTAAGCACAACATGCTCCAGTGTGACTGTGCGTAAGCACAGAGCTGCTTTGTAGATTTTCTAGCTAATTGGTTAAATATGGAAATCCAATTAGCTGCAGAAAGATTTTCCTCTCTCTAAAGGGGGGTGGGTGTCCCGTAACAGGGTCCCCAAAATTTCCTTTTCAATTAAGGCGAGAGGAGGGGAAAAAGTGCATCAGTAGCTGGGGTCACTACAGGGACAACCCCTGTAACATTGTGAGGCTGGTTCTGCTGCAACATACAAGCATGTCATTTAGCTTTTACTTCTGGCTGCCCACTTCAGCCACAAAGCCGTTAGTATTAGCTGTCCTGGAGGTAGTTAAGTCATATACTTTTAGCTAGTTATTTCAGCTAGTGTTGCTTTTTATTTCAAATGGCAGCAGCAGTGTAGAAACTCTAATATTTTTAGATTCAAACAAAAAAATACAGGTAGTTGGAGATAACGGACTGGATATAAAGATGAACATAGCTACTCTTACACCACCTGTCATGGAATAAGGGGTGACTAAGTAAATCAAGACTGTGGACACATAGTAACGACTTCATGCACCAAATCATACTCTTCTTTATGTCAACCAGTTGGGGAATATCTTGAATAACATGCGCACAACTTCACATGAGAAATGTCAATCAAGTCATAAATTGGGTTAGGAGTAGGCTTGTTTTCACATAGTCTTTTTATACAGTTGGACCTGATTGACTCGACACCTTCTGGCTAATAGAAAGAAGAAAAAGTTTTGTTTTTCGGACCGGACTGTAGACTGCATATGTAGCTATGTTTCTCTGCGAAGACCTCCAAAATACGAGGCCTTGTAGATCTCAGAAGGGAGTCTGGTGTGGGAATGTAGAGTAGACTTTTAACTGAGGAATCCAGTGTCCAGGATGGGGTGTAGGGGAGGAGAAGGTTCTGATAATTACTGGATTTGTAGCTGAGGAGAAGGATTTTACAGGAGACTTACCTTGACTGGGAGCTGGTGGGGGTGATGGGTTAGCAGAACTTGGTGCAAAGAACTTTCCAGAGCAATGACTTGGAAGCCACAACCAAGAATTCAGCCGTATTGTTGTTCAATTAGAGAAAGTTGGTTGACATCCAGATTTTGATATCTTCCAGGTAGTGAATCCAAAGCAGAAATACCTTCAACATGCATTTTTTTTACTGGCTATTCTGGTTGCTGAAAGACTTCAAGTGTTATAGAAGTATATTTGAAACTCATTTCCCTTGCTCTGTGACCTCAGTAAACACTTTCCACATGGCTTTATGATCCCAGTTGCTAGTTTCAGGCCTTATCAAATAAAAAGTGAAGATTTTCATAATTTTAAGAGTTACAAACGAGCATTATCTAAGTCCTTCCTGTCTTGTTCTTATTTACACAGGTAGAGCCATGCCTTGCTTTTCGTGTCTGGTTTCAAAACACCAAGATATGAAAGCCCAGGCATGCAGCTAACCACTACCAATACCTTGTTGGCATTTACTGCCACATCGCAGACAGTCCTTTATCATGCTGGCATTAAGAGAGAGTTTAATCTCATATTCTGAAGTATAAAAAAAATGCTATTAATACCTGTACCTGTTGATGTGGATTCTGAGGTGGAGGATATTTTTCCAATAATTTATTGTGAAACTATGTGCGTTTGCGTTAGTATTGTATGATTTTATTTGTCTTGAGAGTCACACTGCATTATAATCCAGCTTTTTTTTTTTTTAAAATTGTGCCGCCTTCTTATGATTTATTTCCACAAATAATGGTATCATATACAGTGCTTTGAAAAAGTATTTATATATTTTTTATATAATTATGGCATAATTTCTTAGATTTTCTCTGTATTTGTCACACTTACTTCTTTCACATCATCAAACAAATACTAATATTAGATCTCCAATCCTACCTCCCTGTGTGGAAAAAGTAATTGCCCCTTAAACCTGATAACTGGTTGTTCCACTCTTGGCAGCAAGAACTGCAATTAAGCATTAGTTATCAAACATCAGTTATCATAGAGTCTTTCAGATCACCGTGGAGGAATTTTAGCTGATTTTTCTCTACAGAAGTTAACAACAGAAGTTGTTTTATTTCAACTGCATTGAATGGTTTTCCAGATGCTTTGGCCTGTTTAAGGTCATGCCAAAGCATCTCAATCAGATCTAAGTCTGGACTTTGACTTGGCTCATGTGTTTCAGATCATTGTCCTTCTGTGTAACTTGAGTGCTCTTGAGCTTCAGGACATAAACTGATGGTCAGAAATGTTCTGGAAGAGAGCAGAATTCATGTTTTCATCAACTACAGCAAGTTAATCTGAAGCAGCAAAGCAGCCCTACACCATCACACTCACAGCAACATGTTTGACTGTTGCTGTGATGTTCTTTTTATGAACTGCTGTGTTAGTTTTATGTCAGATGTAACGAGACTCAAACCTTCCACAAAGTTCAGCTTTTGTTTCGTCAGTCCACAGAACATTTTCTTAGAAGTCTCGGAGATAATCAACATGTTTTTTGGCAAATTTGAGATGAGCCTTTGTGTTCTTATTGGTCAGCAGTGCTTTTCTTCTTGAACTCTCCCATGGATGCCATTTTTGCCCAGTCTCTTTCTTATTGTTGAATCATGAACTCTGACCTTAACTGAGACAAGTGAGGTCTGCAGTTCTTTAGCTGTTGTTCTGGGTTATTTTGTGACCTCCTAGATGACTCATCGATGCACTCTTGGGGTAATTTTTGTCGGCTAGCCACTCCTGGGAAGGTTCACCGCTGTTTTGAGTTTTCTCAATTTGTGCATAATGGCTCTTACTATGGTTCGCTGGAGTCTCAAAGCTTTAGAAATGGGTTTGTAACCATGACTTTGTTTCTCAGCTGTTTCTTTAGGTTGTGTATGATGTGTTACTTTTTGAGTGATTCTTTTGTACCCTGTTTCTCTGTAAGAAACGATAAAGGGGCAAATTATTTTTCACAGCCCTTTAGCCGGTCAGTTTTTGACTGTCAGCAGCGTAGTGATCCCCCTGTCCATTCACATCTGAACAAGTCTCCTCAACTCTATTCCTCCGCTCCCTCTGCCAAGTGTTCAGAGAAAACAGGAGTGCGCTCTCTCTGCTGAAAGATTTAAATTCTGTCATGTTGAGAAAATATGGGACGCAGGAGGAAGACAGAGGAGGAACAAGGGATAGATCAAGTTAACAGGAGACGACCTTCCAGTCAGCCCACACAAACTGAGCCTCGATATGAGAACAGGAAAGAAAGGGAGGGAGGTTTCTATCTGCATGTATAGACTCATGACCTCTCCATCAGTCTGTTAGCTTTGGCTGGAGTGCCTCTACTATAAGTTTGTTTAGTGTTGTCATCACTGTCCCCTGCAGCTGTGGGACCTCTGCTGTTTCCAGTATGCAACCTGACGCTGGAGCAGCAAGGTGGGGAACCAGACTGCACTTCCTCAGAGATGGAGTCTTGCTTCATGTAGTCTAAACAACTCATGGTGTCAGTGTAGGTGGAAAGGGTGTGGGTTATGCCACCTAGAGATCACGAGGGCACACTGCAGGGTTCTGAGAGGATTTGGGGCTGACTGAGTTCACCGCTGAACTCAGGAAAACGCCCACCTGCTGCTGCTGCTGCATTATGTGTATGGTTTAAAGCAGTATATCCCCTTCTCACTGATAATCCGTTTGTTTTTTCCTCAATCCCTCATCTTGTGTAAGGGGAGAAAAAATTACAGTACTGTGATAGCCTGTCCTTGATTACTGGTTCCCAACCTTATTGGGTCCCTATAAGATTAGTTCAAATAACCCTCTGTAACCCCACCCACTCAGCATGTTCTGAATTTGTTGTCATGGATTGCAAACCTGACCTTATTCAACACTTTTAGTTACATAAAGGTGGATATTCTGTTAATGTGGGCAGCTTCCATTACTACTGCCTTTTTAAAAAAATAAGTAATCTTGGAAGTTGGGAAAATTGTGTGAATCCTGTGCGATCATGTGTTTTAAAGTCAGTAGAGTGTAAGAAATGCTATTTTTATAAAACATTTAATACATTTCTTTTGTTTCTCGCTCTGTCAACAACTAAATAAGTCGTTAACCAACATTTTCCACCTTTCTCAGTTGTTTCTGGGTCTTAAGAGAGCATTCCTGCCACCTTTTCACAATCTGGACCACATTTTTTAGATCAGTCTTAGCTTATAAAGAAGAAGCTAGATGTTTCTAGATTATCAAGATTCAGTGTTGCTCCCTGCTAACAGATTTGTCAAATTACAGACTTTGTGCCTGACTGATATTTTCCCATAGATTTATATAGGAACTGAAATATTTTTGCAATTATAGCTATCGCCATCTGGGGGCTTTATGGAAAAAAAACCCCACACAAAAAACAGCCATGCCCATCTTTCATATACAGTATATGGTTCCAGCTGTCCTTTTAGCCTCATCAGAAATGGTGTTACTGGAAGGATGAATGTCAAGAAGCCATTCTAAAGGAAGGAAAACCGGGAGAAAGGCTGAGGTATGCCAAATTATTCAAGAACTGCACTGAAAATCACTGCACTGATGAAGTGATGGATCCAAACTTGAAATATGTACGGCTTTAGGAGAGAGGTACAACAGTGAGTATCTGGAGCCATTGTAGAATACGGTGAAAGCCCTTTCATGGTTTTGGGGCTTGAGTTCAGCCAGTGATGGTGGGGATCTTGTCAGATTTTTAACCACTGTACAAAACCACCTGGAAAGCATCTGGTTATCAACAGCTTGAATGATTTCAAACACTCTGCCAATGCAGTAAAAACATACCGGAATAGAAAAACACACAAGGGAACACCATCAGTCATGGATCGGCCTCCCCAGAGCCTAAACCTCAACATCATCTTCATAGACAACTGAAGAAAAGG